GAACACAATAAGAACATGATGCTAGCGCATGAAGAACAAATCGACATAAACAATGAAATCATTACTCTATTCACTACCCAAACTTTAATAATGAAATTAAATGAAAATACTTTATTAAGATAATTATTTATTTATGTATTATTTTTTTGTTTCTTTTTTTGTTTTTTTTATGTTTTTTTTTCTATTTCTTGTTTTTTTTTTTTTTTGATTTTTTGATTTTTGATTTTTCTTTTTTGGCTTTTGCCTATATATATATATATATACACCTACACTACCCACAGTTATTCCTTCATACTATAACTTATTCATACCCAAAGTTCGTTTCTAACTAGTGTCGAGGAAATAAAGTTCATCACAACATGGACTTAAAGTAATTCTTTCTAACATGGGGTTCAAATCGGAGAAGGCTCAATCGAAAGAAGGGTATGAGGCTAAAGAAATAGTTTATTATATAAAAGAAAAAAATAGGCTAAGAAGGCTCAAATGGGCTAACTAGGGAAATATATTGTGCTGGGTAATAAAGAAAGGCTTAATGGGTTACCTAATGCCCTTATCATTTTCAAAACGCAAGACTCGATAGTTGCAAGTTCAACATGCATAATCATTCAAGTTCTAGGTCATCTAATTGAGCACTACAAATCACACATGAAAGAAATTTCCAAAAGCTTGAATATATGCAATTTATTTTCTAATGTGACTTTTGGAACATAGGCTCAAATTCTCATAGGGTTCAAACGTCAACTTGACTCAACATATCACCAATCAAATGTCATTAGTCATGCCAAACTAACCTATCACACAAATCACCTTTGACCCACTTCAGACTAATCTAAAAAACATGCGAAAAGACAACAAATCAGGCATAAAAATAGCACAAAATGAAAATTTTGCCCAAAAAATTGCATAACTCTCCCCACACCTAAAGTATGCATTGTCCTCAATGTAAAGAAAGCAATGAAAGAAGAGAGGAACTTCCCTGGAGTCCATAGGGGGTGTAATAGTTGGGAGCTTTGTTAACACCTCTTCATTTGATCGTGATTTTTAGGGAGGCTTGAATTTTATCCTTGCAAACAATTAGCCAAACGCAACAATGTATTCAAACAAAGTAATTCACTCAAGTGACTAAACCCAATTGTACCAAAAAATCAGCCACAACAACGAGAACAAGATTATGCAAAGAAAGTGCGATCTTCAATTCAAACATGTCAAACCAAATCATTGTATTCAAAACAGTCCTATATAACAACCAACAACCAATAGTCAGTCACAATGTTAGGCAATGCAATTCAGAACATCACTGTAACTAATCCAAGACAGAATATCCAAGAATAGAACTACGTCAAAACAAATCAAGCGTAACATTACGAACATTACTATGCAACACCAAGTTCACAGCAATTTCCTAGTAGCAGGAGTCCATAAAGTGGCAATTCTAAAACATCAATCCCATATCTCAACATATTATTGAAAAATTGAAAGTATTGGTAGGGATGAATAGATAATACCCAATCCAAGAATGAAGATCAGCGTTGGCTGGAGGTGGCCCAGGGCTGTTCGGCGGCGGCTGGAAGTGTGGAATCTGTGGCGGCGTGGAGTCGCAGGGGGCGCTGGGCGTCGGAAGGACTGGTTCAACACAGGCGGCATTACTGGAGGTCATCTTCTGGCAGAGGCGGCGTCTCGGCGGCGGAATAAAATCAGCGAAGAAGAAGAAGAAGAAGAAGGAGAAGACGCGGAGGAAAAAGATGATCGCCGGCGTCTAAATCGGCGGAGGAAGGCGACGGCGCCTGGTCTGGACTGGTGGGCTGCTGGAGGAGAAAGAGAAGGTCTGGGCAGAAGAGAACGACGCGGAGGGAGGGTGAACCGGCGGCGACTTCTGGCAGAGGAATGTCACGGCGGAGGGTGGGGGGAAGAGAGGAAAGAGAGAAAGAGAGAGGGAAAGGGACAGAGAGGGGAATTATTTTATTTTATTTATTTATTTTATTTGGGGATTTAGGGTTAAAAGTGGATAGAGGGAAGGAAGAGGCAGTGTGATAAGTGGTTATTAGTCATGGTCATGACTAAAGACTACCTTGCATGCTGGAAATTGGAGGGATTAGGCAGTGTTATAAGTGCTATTTAGTCATGATCATGACTAAATGGCACCTTGTGATCTGAATTATTTTCCAAAAGACCTGCATCAAATCAAACAAAATAATCAACAATATTATTAGCAATTAAACAAAAAGCAATTAAAATTAAAGAAAGCAATTAAACGGTTTGGGTTATCTCCCAAAAAACGCTTTTATTTATAGTCTTTGAGCTAGACTTCGCCTCGCATCAATTCTGAACATTGAAATCGGCAACGGGTGCCGGCTTTATAGGATCAAATGAGGGTCCCTCGTGGTATAATTTGAAGCGATGTCTATCGGCTACACACTTTTTCTTCGGCTTAGAATTTTGATTCTCCTTATGACATTTTTTTGCTGCCAGCAATGGTGATCCCTTGGGAATCCATCTCCACTTTTTGACAATCTTTTTTCTTTTCTAACTCTCTCCAGTTGGTCTTTTCTCTAACTGTTTTGTCAACACAGTTCTTCGTTTATTCTCATTACCAACTTCACAAGTTTCCTGCACCACAGAATTAATAACATTAATTGCATATAACGATTCAGATTCAACAGGACATTTGACGAGATTAAATATATTGAAATGAAATTCTTCTCCATCAAACTCCAAGCTAAGTGTGCCATTTTTAACATCTATCTTTGTTCCTGCAGTGCACATAAAAGGTCTTCCTAACAAAAGAGGCGGTGGATTAGAGTAGTGCGCATAATGCATATCCATAATATAAAAATCAACAGGAAAATCAATTCATTCACTTGAACTAGTACATCTTCTATCATACCATCAGGATAAGCATTGGTTCGATCAGCAAGTTGAATAATAATTCCTGTTTCTTTTAGAGGCCCTAGATTTAAAGAGTCGTATATTCATCGAGGCATGACATTAATAGCAGCTCCTAGATCTAGCATAGCCTTAGTTATCTCAGTTGTTCCAATCTTACAAGGGATAGAAAACATACCTGGATCACCTGTTTTAGGTGGTACCTTTCTTTTGATAACAGCAGAAACGTTCTCACCCGCTATAATATGTTCGTCCCCTCGCAATTTTCTTTTGTTGGTGCACAGTTCTTTCAAAAACTTTGCGTACTTGGGGATTTGGTTGATAGCTTCCAGGAGCGGGATATTAAGTTCCACCTTCTTGAATATTTTCATCATCTCTTTTCGTTTGTTTGCCTTTTGTGGTTTCTTCAACCTGTCAGGAAAATGAGTTGATTTAGTTTCAGTAAGAGGAGCATAGTCATGAAGTACCTTTTCGTGAAGTTCAGCTTCTTTTTCAATCTCCATCTCAATCTGATCTTCATTTTGTTCCTTTGAGATAGGAGGTGGACCTTCCAATTCCTTTCCGCTACGAAGGGTTATAGCACTCGTATTCTTTGGATTAGGCTAGGAGGAACATTCAATCATCGTATCACTGCAGATAGTGATGGCGCTGACATTTGCTGGATTTGGCTCAGGCTGAGCAGGCCACTTTCCTCTTTCACGTAGCTATTTTACCTCCTCTGACACTTGATTGATCTGACCTTGTAATTTGTCGAAAGTTGACTTCATCTCTTGCTGGAATTGCAGGGTACTGGTAGCCATAGACTTCACCAAGTCTTCCAAAGATGGACTAGAGTTGCTTGTGGGTGCTTAGGGCGGCTGTTTCTCGTAAGGGCGAGGCCATTGCATATGATCTGTGGCTCGAAATGGTTGAGGACCATGATTCTGGTGTGCGTTTCCATAGCACAGGTTTGGATGATCTCTCCAGCCTGGATTGTAGGTGTTGGAGTATGGATTGTACGCTGGAGGTCTATTCATACCGTAGTTTGCAGCGTTCACATCCACTGCACATTCTTCTTGGAGGGTCGGGCATGCATCTGTAGGGTGTCCTATACTCGTGCATATTCCACACGCCTTGACATGGACACTCGGGTTGGATTTTTCCACGACCATCTTGCGAAGCTCGTCAACTCAGAAAGTTGTTGTTGCATCGATTGGATGGCATGGTCGTTGTTGTTTCCGCTCATATGTCCAACATCTCTTGAACCAAATTGCTGCGTATTTTCAGCCATCCTCGCAATAAGATCCCAAGCTTGTGCCGGCGTCTTATTTACTAAAGCTCCACCACTTGCAGCATCGATAATGTTCCTGTCCATCAATGACAAACCATCATAAAAGTATTGAATCAATAATTGAGGGGGAATTTGATGTTGTGGACATTTAATGCTAAGCTTATTAAATTGCTCTCAATATTCATGGAGCGTTTCACCTGATTGTTGCTTGATGCCACATATCTCCTTCCTCAGGATCGCAGCTCTGGAAGCTGGAAAATACTTCTCCAAAAATTTCTTCTTCATGTCGTTCCACGTGTCGATGCTTCCAGGTGGGAGATAGTAGAGCCAATCCTTTGCAGCATCTTTGAGTGACAATGGGAAGGCTCTGAGTTTGATCTGTTCGTCAGTAACACCTGGTGGTTTCATGCTGGTCGAACTCTTGCAAGTGTTTATGAGGTTCTTCACCTGCAAGTCCATGAAAAGAACGCAGTAAATGGATTAAGCCAGATTTTAGTTCAAAAGAAATAGTGTAATTCAGAGTTGGAAAGTTAATGCATAAGGGCTGCTGCGCCAAGTCGGGGGCAGCCAACTCCCTTAAAGTGCGGGTATCCTCAGCCATGACAGTCTCTTGATCACTTTCAGAGTCGTTAGATGTAATGCCCCGATTTCGGAATGTATAAAATAATATTATTATAGCAAATAAATATTTGACAATAGTAATGGAATCAAGAAACTAATATTTTGGGATAAATTATATTCCAATTTTGTATATTAGTTATAATTAAATAGACTGTTAAATGGATAAATATCGATAAAATTAAAAATATTTATAAACTATTTTTTTTTTGGGAATAATAAAATGCTTATATAATTAATTTTAGCCTTAACACTGTGTTGTGGGGCCCGAAGTAGGAGGTGACGACCTCATGATGCAGTGTGGCGGTAGCATTTCCAGTATGAGCCAACTGGGGGTGTTACAAGTTGGTATCAGAGCCTAGGTTTGATAGATTTTGGCTCTTTGAATTAAAAAGGTTTTGAAAATAATAATGATATTGAATTGGTTTGGTGAGGTTTGGGTTTTGCGGGTGCATTCATGTTAATGTGATCTATCTTTTATTGTTATGCTTGGTTTAGCTGTGTGCTGAATTGATATTGGATCAGGAAAAATTGGGGGCAGTATGTCGAATTCTCGAGGTGGTGGTGTACGTAGGGCTATTCAAGGCCCAGAGTTTGATCCTTCGTCTGATGAGTCACAGTATCCTGTGCCAGCGCATGTACCAACAGAGGCACCTAGTCAGGATTTCTTTCGGCAGTTTATGGCCGCGATGATGCCTCAACAGAGGAGTTTCATTGATGCTGTGATGCGGCATAACCCACCAACATATTCTGGTTCAGTGGAGCCAGGAGTCCTTGAGTTTTGGGTTGAAAAGATGGAAAAGATATTTCGTGTTGTTCAGGTTCCGCCAGATCAACGAGTTAATATTGGAGCCTATTTCTTGGAAGGCCGAGCAAATCGGTGGTGGTTAGGTGAAGAAGCTGCAGGTGTAGACCAAGTGGATATGACTTGGGATGAATTTAAAGCAAAGTTAAAGGCTAGGTTTATGCCGTCGCATATTCGAAAAGCGAAGAAGCAAGAATTGCTGGACTTAAAGCAGGGCTCGATGTCAGTTGAGGATTATCTTGTGAAGTTTAATGAGTTGGAGATGTATGTTCCTGACTACTTTTCCTGTGAGCGAGACAGAATTGACCATTTTGTAGACGGGTTGCAACACAGAATTCAAGAAGCTTTAGCGGTGTTGGATATCAGTTCATTGTATGAGGCTTACGAGCATGCTGCCCGATTTTATCAGAAGCAGGAAGTCAGACAAAAGGAGAGTGAGAAGGAAATAGGTTATCAACATCAGGTTCGAGATAAGGGAAAAGCTAAAGTGGAGGATGAGCCCAAGGGTAAAAAGAAATGGTGGCAAATGTTCAGGTCTGGGCCATCGTATAAGGGGATTTCGATTAATGAACCGAGTCAGGAGAGGTCTCAGCAATCGGGGGCTGTTTGTCGGCGTTGTGGAACAAGCCACCCAGGTACTCGTTGTGATAAAGTTCCATTGACATGTTTTAAATGTGGTGGTAGTGGTCACATTGCCAGGTTATGTCCAAGTGTGGTAACTGCAAGGGAGTTTCCAGAACCGAGGTTTAGGCCATGGCAGCCGCCGTCTTCGCAGTCACAAGGGAGAGGATTAGGATCATCTTGGCGAGGGGGACGAAGTCAGTCACGTTCGTCATCTAGGCAGCCAGGCAGAGGACCTGACCAGCGTGGACGAATAAATGTTCTTACCCAAGCAGAAGCTGATTATCATCCAGGTGAGGTTTTAACGGGTAGATTTCTGGTTTGCGGTTTTCCTGCTCTTGTGTTATTCGATTCGGGTGCAACGTTCTCGTTCATATCTAAGCGTCTAGTTAGACGATTGGGTCTGAATTCATCAGTAGAAGTGGTAGTGGAAGTTTTACTTCCATCAGGAGAAGTGTTGGAATGCCGAGAGCTTTATATGCAGATTCCGGTTAGTATTGAAGGGGTTGATTTTGTTACTAACTTGTTGGGCATCAAGCTATCCGAGTTCGATGTAATATTGGGGATGGATTGGTTAGTGGCATATCAAGCTCAATTTGATTGTCGAAAAAGATCAATTTCGCTGGTTGGAGCGATGGGCGAACAGGTGAATTATGCAGGATTTGCCAGACAACCTTCTATGAAGGTAATTTCATCCCTATCATTTCAATCATTTATTCGTAAGGGGTTTCCAGTATATCTGTGTGAGGTAAGAGATTTGACGCAAGGGGAGCAGCGATTGCAAGATATTCCTGTAGTCCGAAATTTTCCTGATGTATTTCCTGATGACATTCCGGGTATGCCACCAGCTCGTGAGGTGGATTTTGCTATTGATATTGTGCCGGGTGCTGAGCCAGTATCAAGGGCTCCATACCGGATGGCACCTTTAGAACTAGCTGAACTTAAATTGCAACTACAGGAATTGCTAGATAAGGGTTACATTCGGCCTAGTACATCGCCTTGGGGAGCTCCAGTTTTATTTGTGAAAAAGAAGGATGGAAGTTTGAGGTTATGTATTGACTACCGTGGACTGAACAAAGTCACGGTGAAGAACAAATATCCTCTTCCGAGGATTGATGATCTATTTGATCAACTGAGAGGTGCAACTATATTCTCAAAGATTGACTTGAGATCTGGATATCATCAGCTAAGGATTGCAGAGCATGACATTCCGAAGACAGCTTTTCGGACTAGATACGGGCATTATGAATTCACGGTTATGTCCTTTGGGTTGACTAACGCCCCGGCTGCATTTATGGAGTTGATGAATAGAATTTTTCAACCATACCTCGATCAGTTTGTGGTGGTATTTATTGACGATATCTTGGTCTATTCCCCAGATAAAAAGACGCATGCAAAACATTTGCATGTAATATTAAACATATTGCGTGCAAGAAAGTTATATGCCAAGTTATCCAAATGCGAGTTTTGGTTGAAGGAGGTTGCTTTCTTGGGGCATGTTGTTTCTGGAAAGGGTATCTCAGTAGATCCTTCTAAAGTGGCGGCAATCTTGGATTGGCCAAGACCTACCAATCAATCAGAAGTAAGAAGCTTTTTGGGTTTGGCAGGATATTATCGGCGATTCGTTCTTGATTTTTCGAAGATTGCAAAACCATTAACTAATTTGCTGAAAAAGGATGCAAAGATTAACTGGGATCACGAGTGTGAGTCATCCTTTTTAGAATTGAAACATCGATTAACTTCAGCGCCAATTTTGGCTTTACCAGTGGAAGGTGAGGAGTTTGAAGTGTATAGTGATGCTTCGAAGCAGGGATTGGGATGTGTCTTAATGCAGAATCAAAGAGTTATTGCTTATGCATCACGACAACTAAAACCTCACGAAGAGAATTATCCGACACACGACTTGGAAATGGCAGCAGTGGTGTTTGCTTTGAAGATTTGGAGACACTATCTTTATGGAGCCCATTGCAGAATATTTACTGACCATCAAAGTTTGAAATATATCTTCACCCAAAAAGAATTGAATTTAAGACAAAGAAGATGGTTAGAATTGGTGAAGGATTATGATCTTGAAATTGTGTATCATGAAGGCAAAGCAAATGTTGTAGCCGATGCCTTAAGTCGAAAACCAAGGCATAACTTGGGCTTCATGTCGGTTGCTGATGAACTGTGCCAAGATTTAGCGCGGATGGAAATTGAGGTACTTGGACGGGGTATGACTCGGGGATATTTGCAAATGATACAAGTTGAGCCTGAAATTTATGATCGCATTAGAGCGGCTCAAATGGAAGATAATAAAATGGTTGAGCTTGCAGTGAAAGTTCAGTACGGTCAGACTCAAAATTTTAATATTGCTCCAGATGGGAGTCTTCGATTTCACGGGAGGTGGTGTATCCCAAAGGATCGAAATGATTTGAAAGAGCAGATTATGAGTGAGGCTCATAATACACCATACTCAGTGCATCCGGGGGGAAATAAAATGTATCATGACCTACGTCAACATTTTTGGTGGAAGGGCATGAAGAAGGATGTAGCCAAATTTGTTGCACGATGTTTAAAATTGTCAAAAGGTAAAAGCAGAACATCATAGACCAATGGGGTTGCTACAACCTTTAGAAGTTCCACTCTGGAAATGGGATTCTATCGCAATGGATTTTGTAACAGGACTTCCAAGGTCAAAGTCGGGAACAGATGCAATTTGGGTAATTATAGACAGATTGACCAAGTCAGCAGTGTTCATTCCAGTACGTATGACTTGGAGTATGCAGAAATTGGCCAAATTATATGTTCATTATGTGGTTAAACGACACGGTATTCCTGAGGTGATCATATCAGATCGTGATCCACGTTTTCAATCTCGATTTTGGCAAAAATTGCAGGAAGCCTTTGGTACTCAGTTGCATATGAGTACTGCATTCCATCCTATGACTGATGGTCAGTCAGAAAGAACTATCCGTATTCTGGAAGATATGCTAAGAGCTTGTGCTATGGAATTTCAAGGGAGTTGGGAAGACCACTTGGATTTAGTGGAATTTTCATATAATAATAGCCATCAAGCAAGTATCGGAATGGCTCCTTTTGAAGCTCTTTATGGTCGAAAATGCAGAACTCCTTTGAGTTGGGACGATATGAGTGATCGACTGATACTGGGTCCGGAAATGATTGAGGAATCGAAAAATAAGATTCGAATTATCAGAGAAAAGATGAAGGCAGCTCAAGATCGTCAAAAGAGTTATGCCGATAGAGCCCGACGTGAGGGTCAATTTCAAAGTGGAGATTTTGTCTTATTGAAAGTATCCCCAATGAAAGGTATTAGAAGGTTTGGGATTAAAGGAAAATTGAGTCCGCGTTATGTTGGACCTTATGAAATTGTCGATCGAGTTGGTGATTGGGCCTATCGGTTGGCACTTCCAAATTCTATGGAGCGTATCCATAATGTGTTTCATATATCTCAGCTTCGTAGGTATGTTGCAGATCCTTCTCATATTTTATCTCCAGATGAGATAGAGCTGAATGAAGATCTTTCGTATGAAGAAAAGCCTCTGTGGATCATGGACACAAAGGTCCGAACCATGAGGAATCGAGATATTCGTATGGTGAAAGTAATGTGGTCCAGACATGGAGCGGAAGAGGCCACGTGGGAAGTAGAACAAGAAATGTTCAAAGCATACCCACAATTGTTTAATTAAGTTGCCTTGTTATGTGTTTGAGTTTAGATTTCGGGGACGAAATCTTTTTAAGGGGGAGTGGATTGTAATGCCCCGATTTCGGAATGTATAAAATAATATTATTATAGCAAATAAATATTTGACAATAGTAATGGAATCAAGAAACTAATATTTTGGGATAAATTATATTCCAATTTTGTATATTAGTTATAATTAAATAGACTGTTAAATGGATAAATATCGATAAAATTAAAAATATTTATAAACTATTTTTTTTTTGGGAATAATAAAATGCTTATATAATTAATTTTAGCCTTAACACTGTGTTGTGGGGCCCGAAGTAGGAGGTGACGACCTCATGATGCAGTGTGGCGGTAGCATTTCCAGTATGAGCCAACTGGGGGTGTTACATTAGAGCTAGATATTTTGAGGTGGTTTAAGGATTTTGCCAGCTTCGCAACCTGAGCAGCTTTTCGTTGCTTGGCTTTCTTTCGTAGCTTTCACTCAACCTTCTCGATCTCAAGATTAAATATCAGTTCACCTGTACGAGAAGAGTAAAACAAAGCGCCAATCCCCATCAACGGCGCCAAAAATTAACCTGTCTCGCGGTCAATCAAATATTTCACCTACTCCGTGATCACAATTTAATGTAATATAGGGGAAGGGATCGTCTCCACAGGGATCGTGTGATTCAATCTTTCGTGTTCTAATGCAGTAAATAAAGGGAGAATTTTCTTTTATTATCTAATGAAAATAAAATAACAAAGCAATTAAATTAAGGGGGAACTAACTATCAAGGGGATGCCTGGCTCAAGGGATGATGCAGTTATGGCACTTGTGTTTTATCATTAATTCAATAAAATTAATTCTTATTAAAGTTTCAATAAATTGGTTATAGTTATCAACAAGCTCTGACAACCAATTTTTCCTTACAATGTAGGTAATTAAGGTACGAC